CAAGCATTGTCAAATGCCATTAACAGACATCGCAAATATCTGCGGAGTCCAGGCCTCAGAGAAAACACTTTGAAAAGCCTTTGCTTTCAAGGGCTATTACAGCTGCAAGGCTTGGAAAAAGCCTCTTCTAAAGCCAGACCAGAAAGCTAAGCGGCTTGAATTGGCTCTCACACATTAAGGCTGGTACCAAGAAAATTGGCAACGGGTTATCTAGACTGACGAATACTACACGTGGCTGTCAGTCACACATGGCACAGTCTGGATAACCTATTACGCTGGAGAGGAGTATGAGGATGCATGCCTCTCCCCTCAGTTCAAGAAGTGGGATGCTATCATAATCTGGGGGGAGATATGTGGCCAAGCAAAGGCACATCTTGTTCTTTGGGAGTGAGAGGATTGGGGTACAATAGCCACAAGTACGTATTGTACCTATGTTTTAACTCTGGCTCTCTTTCCATTCTAGTATCAGGAGAGTACCCGGGCCCAACAAAGACTTTTGATAATTGAGGATGGTGCCTCTGCCTACAAGGCATGATATACTCAAGCAAGGCAGCAGGAGTATGGTACACCAATGTTCAATTGACCCCCATGCTCCCCTAACCTGAATCCAATTGAGAATGTTTCGAACCTTTTGAAAGGCATGCTTGAGGCCCGGCGGCCTTGCATTCGGGGAAAAGCTGCCATGGCAGCTGCAGTTCAGAAAAAATGGGATGGGAGATCTCCATCTAATGTGGTTTCCTTCATTTATTCTATGCCTGAATGGATCAAGGCCATTACAGCTACTAATGGAGGACATACTCGCTGGTAGACTAGACCAATCATTTTTTCATTTTTTCTAATTTTTCATTTTTAATATTTACAATTGTTTATTTATATTTATTATATCTATCTCAATGTACTCTATATACAAATATTCAATAGTTTATGATCGTTTATAAGTTTTTGGGAAGCTATTTAACAATCTTTGATCAGGGGCTCACTGCCATTTTAGTCTAAGTACCCCAACATTCAGGTATCTTCCGCCCTCCCTTCAGCTTATGACAGGGGCCCCCTGTTTCCGAATACTTCTTGCCTGGGACGTGTACATATTAGATATGATATCTTTCCTCCAGTCCACCCGCCCACTCACCCATGTTCATCTTGATCTCCCGAACAGACAGCGATGACTACTCCACTGAACCGCTGCAATAATCTGATTCGTCCTTGACCACTAGTGCCCAGCTCAAATGCTCGATATCCCCCACCTCCCCACCTAGGTGCCAGCGAGTTTTTCGGGTCTACCCGGTAATGTACCCCAATTCGCCATAAGTGATCGAACGACTCAACTTACCATGCCCCGTAAAGTTATCGCCAGAATAATACCGCACGAAGCTGTATCGCGAACAGCTGACGCTCCTACCGCGAAAGCAGCTGCGAAGTGCAGTACAATACCGGAAAATCACATATAGGAACGGTATTTCAGACCCACGACCCGTATCGACCAACGGGCTGGTTGGACAGCACTTACGGATGAGGTTTTCTGTATCATAGCGTAATGTACAAGGCGAGTGCCTCGACGAAAGGCCAAGTTGGATCCATGATGATGATACTCTACTCCGTAATGCTCCTGGTTAAAATTTCTATTTATTAAATCTAAATGAAGCTTTCCTTCCTCCGCTCCGTTCATCATGTGTAAACCCCCCACCCCCCTCCTCACATCTATCTCCCTTCAGATCTAAAGAGTTTCTCACATGATACCGGTACGGCAAACGGCAGTCCGATGAGTTCGCGCCGATTTACCGTGTTTATATCGTACGGCGCACTTTGCAAACTTACCGTTCGACCACCAAACTGCACGAGTGATCCCTTGTGACAACAAGCTACCGAGCGCAATAGTGTGGGTCTCCGGTCGGTGATCGGCAGCGAATCTAACGTATCCATTTCTTCCACCAAAGAAATTGCCCAGCACCAGTGAAGAGGTCCCGAAAAGGATTCAAACTAAAAGACGAAATTGCATTCCTAACCACCCACCTCCCAAGCGTCGTGGTTTGGTTACCAACTCTCTAGCACATTCTCGAAGGACGAAAATTTCGGACAAGTCCTGGCGGAAGCTTGAGCTTTGCTGCGACTACCGTGCTGCAGGCATCAATCGGACGGAGGCTCATCGGTTCTTGACATCTTAGCTATTACAATGGCCATGCATCACGTAATATGATACTATACCACTGTGGACAAATACTTACACTATGATGCTCCGCAGGACGCCAAGGAAGACGGCATTCCCCCAAAACCAACCAAACCTAAGCAGTTTGCAACAGTCAACACAACCCTCATTAGCTCAACCAATCGCCGTTAACACACCTGGATAATCCAGGTTTATGATACAAACGGGACCAGGCACGCCCCTTTGCCGCGCTTCGATCGTGGGCCAGTCCACCCGCCCCCGACCGGGGAGAGGATGGGCAGGGTGGCGAGAAAGTACCGTACCCCCCCCCGGGAGGGGCTATTAGGCCCTCCTGATGTCTCGGATTTCGGCACCACCCCAAAATAATGGCATTCGTCGGGAAATTCCCCAATAGTCTTACCGTATTGTAAAGGCATTATACAATGTCACTAATGATCACTCGATGATGAAAGACCGTCCTCTTGCATGGTTTTGAGATGAGGGACGATATCAAGGTAACTTGACTAATAAATAAACAAATGGAGAGATGGTAGCGGAGATATAGATATATATTATATAGTGTGGAAAATTACAATATTATTAGCTCTGCATCCATATTTCACGTTCAGACGACGCCTTCCACCCACAAAAGGCTGAGGGTTCCGAAGGCGCCGGACTCTACCTGTGATACACCTCGGCTACAGGTGGCGGTGGGTGTCCATGGGTGGCTGCCGGCCTGTTCAGAAGTAGCTAGAGAGAGACACCAAAGCACTACAATACCACGGAGTAACCACAAACCGTCGATACTCCAACTTCTTCATGCCCAACCTCGTGGAGATCTCTGCCAGCCAGTGTCATGATCCACCCCCAGTTACAACTTCCCACAAATCTAACCACCTCGTTAGCGCCCACCGGGCAAATTCAGCCACCTACTCTGCCCACCGTTCACCGCCAACTATCCACCAGTATCCCAACAAGCAAGTCCCTAGCAAATAGGGCACCCGCCTAGCGCGACAGCGCCACCCCCGCTGCGGCCAACCCACAGCACTCCCGCACCTACCGAAACCCCAGGCAATATCGGGGCGATGACTTCACAGAATGAAGTGAATTAAAAGACATTATCTGAATGCGACGAGTGTCAAGTAAAACGTAGCAAGAACTGCACGCTGCACGCGAAGAAAAGAGAACTTGGAAAGAAAGGATATTTCAAATACTTACCGCGGAGACCCCGAGCGGTTATTTGTGGCCACAAACATCACACCTCTGCGGGAGTTGGAAGAGAAGCTTCATCTCGCAGGGGTGAAGGGTGGGATGGCTGTTGGCGGCGCAACCTGTTGCTGTAAACGACGGATTACGGTAGATTGATAAGTGACGAAACGGAAAACTTGCGTATATGACTATGATACGAAGCGCATACCACGTTGTGAGGATCCACAAAGGGCAGATGGGGGTCAGCAAATACCGGTATTCAGGACTACTCATTTCTATAGAACAGAGGGTCAGTGTATTATGGATAATTGGAGAGGTTATATTGGCACTAAGTCATCCTCCATCTCCCCAGAATCTTACACGAACCCTACACCGCCTGCACGCGTACAGGTACTAGTATGATACAGACCACCCTACCAATCCGGAAAATCTAACGCCATCTCCCCAGTAATCGCCTTGGTATACCTCTGTAACAATTCCAACTGCTCAACAATATCCGTCAAAGCCGATGAATAGGCGTACTCTACCAACCTCCTATGTTATTAGCCCCTCCCCCAATACTTGTAATAAAAACAAAAACAAAAAGGAGCAGAAAAAAACTCACGATAAACATCCGCCCACCTCCTCCCCCTCACCCCACTCCTAGGCCTAACAACCCTCTCCATACCACTCTCCTTCTCAATCTCCGCCATCCTATCCAAAAGCCTTTTCCTTGCTACGGCGGCCGAAGGCAGGTATCTGGGCACCGGCCGCTTATCGCGGAGTGCACCAGCAAGGATGTATAGGTTCATCAGTATGCTAGCTACCGCGTCGCGACGGACCGGGATCATTTTTCTAGTAAACTCTTCGGAGCCTTCGGGTAATTGTCAGCCCAGAGCGGGAGTGTATATAGGGGGGGAAAGGGGGTGGAATAGGGGAGAGGAACCATTGGACAGGAACGGCTGAAAGTAGAGACTTGCTTGGCGGACTTCGATTATGTGTTCCAGGAACCGCTCCAAGGAGGATATTGCCGCGGCATATGGGGATGGATCGAAGGGGGCTCGAATCCGCTGTTCTGGTTAGTTTGGCGTGGCGTGGATATGCGGGCACGGCATAGTATGGTAAAGTGATGAGCAGGTTCAAGGTACTCCGTAAAGTACAAGTACGGAAGAGCCCAACTACCCGTACCGTACAGGTATTGTAACGCCATGTATGTAATAGGGGAGGGGATGGAATACGAGTGGGAGCGATGACAAAATAAGGCCAAAGAAAGGGAGCCCACAATCTCATGCCGGGTCATCTCCAGCAGTTCTCTCATCCGGACAAATCCTGTAAAAAATTCCAAGCCGGAATAATTAACATACAATAACTTCCTACTTTCACCGAACCAATCAAACGGGTAGGATAAATAATTCCGAGATTTGCTATGCATGGGGGGTTTCATGTGGGATCACGTGCCTTCCCTCAATCTCGCTTCTTGTGTCTCGGATCTTTCCAGATCTTCTCTGGTTGGCTGAGAGTTGGCCTCATAGTAGATGTACCTGCGCAATCATGAGCCCATCCCGACCAGCGTGGCGGACGGATGCATTAGCATGCCTACTCGAGTACGGTACGCGGGTGAGGAGTGGTGCATTTGGGTATGAGGACAAATACTCGGATCAATAATTTATCAAAAAAAAAGCTCATACCTCGCGACGACACCTCTGTAGGAAATTCCAAGATTGAGCATCATGAAGGATAGTGATTTTCGAAGTTCGTGTCTCGCCACAAATGGCCAGATCACCCAGTTTACCACCACCGCTGTTACTATTCCAACGATCAACGAGAGACCTCGGGTCCAGGCAACCTTTGCCGGCGAAGGAATGTCTACGGTGGAATCGCGAAGGGTGTATGTACTGAGAGATACGACGGAATAACTTATGCAGCCCATGAGACCGGAACGCGGATGTGATGATGAAGTAAATCTAAACACTGTAAAATAAATAAAGACAACGTTAAAAAATTACTCATTCCCGCTAATGCCTTTCATTTCGGGAAACACAACATGATGATTGGCTCCGAGACAACGAAACATTTCAACCTACTGCCTGGGACCATAAAGATTGCCGTGAAAAGCGCAAGAACATATGGATCTCCGCCACCAGCCGCGTGCCCAAGGCCAGCCCATGCAGACCCAACGGCAGTCGTTATACTCCGCGTGATTAAATCCTGGGCATTTCCACCCACTCGCGGATGCATCATGAACCAAGCCGCAATCACCGACCACCAACACTCATTCCCTAAATACCACACACGGCTGCTCTCCACCCAAGCCGGTATACCCAAGGCGATTGTTACAAAGACGACCTTGAATGCAAATCTTGTCTCCCATTGCTGGAGTCTGTGCAGTACTCGCCAGGCCCTGTACCGGATAGTCTGGGGCTCTGTCGTCGTTGGCGGGTTAGAACTCATGGCTTTCGGTTCGGTTTCTGGGGCACCCTCGTCCCCCACGGTGGGGGAGGTAGGGGACGGAATGAATGGCTTCGCTTGATAAGTTTCCATTGCTTTTTCTATATTTTGCTTGCTTTTGAAGTAGTAGCCGGCTGTTAGGCCTCCGCGGTCGTGGCGCACTTGAGGATTTGTCCGGTACAGCGCTTTCTGCAGTGGGTACGACGGAAGGAGTATTCGTTTGCGTCTTTGCGTGCCCACTATCCGAAGGACATTTCCGGCCAGATTCCCCACGGAATCTGCGGTCTGGCGAAGTGGGTGGATGAACAGAAACATTTCAACAAGTTCGGGGTGAGCAGAGTATGCGGATGGAAGGCTCTGATGATCAATTAAGGATATATCAGATTCGTCAAAGACACGCATGGCCTCGAGGAGACGATCCCTCGAAGACCTAAGATTGATATCGCGATAATCCTCCAATGATCCTAGTAGTTTTTTATGTCCAGCATAGTTCATCAGCTCCTTATCGCATCCAAGCAGCACCTTGGTCATTGCGCTGACCAACTCCCTTGCAGGGACTTCCATCGCGTCCCTTACAATCTTCAAATGAGCTTCCGTTGAAGAAGCGAGAGATGATGCCCCCGAACTTCTCGCGCCCGGGGGTTCGATTTCAATCACGATGGAGTAGCTCGGCCGGCTGTCGTCCCCACGCGCCCCCGTGTTATGAGGCGACGTATGTCCAAACAAATTCCCATCTGGCTTAATGGCCATAATATCTCTAATCACGGCCTGCATGAGATTCCGCAGTTGTTCTGCATTGTCAGGTCTCAAATAAGATATAACGATCTCCCCCCGCATGTCTCTAATTGCTTCGGAGAGATAAACGAGTTGCAGGTTCATATTTTGATGAGCTGTGGGAGAGTATGGCCTAGGTAGAACCAGGCCTTCCACAGCGGAGATGACTGCTCTATGCAATGCTGCCCTACTGGGTATCAGTGATGGCTGAAAGAATAAAAGACATGGACAGAGATATGCATGCAGCTCTAATCCGCAAACTCAAGAAATAAAAAATAAATAGAAATCGGTAATCATACGCTACAGCTTTCCCACCAGCATCTGGCCGGATGATAACATTGATAATCAGGCAAATCCCCAAACCAACCACCCACGGGATTCCAAATTCCCAAAGAATGCCCCGATCCCAACTACCCGTGTTATCTATCGCTTCCGAGCCAACAAGGCAAATAAATATGATGGCCAATCCGACGCTAATCATTAATTGATAGAGCTTCACGAGAGAACATCTAATCCAGCTAGCAGCACAAATAAATGTCACCCAAAATACCGCTATTACCCCACCATAGCCAACCTGAGCGTTACGAGTAGAGCTGGCCACCTCAAGAGCAAGACTGCCAACCGCCAAACCAAATCCCGCTCCAATCGAGCATGCCACAGTTGCATCAATCTGAGCACCAAGTGTGCGCCCAGGGTGATTGAAAAGTGTGGCAACCGTGATCCAGTATGGATATCTGCCCAGCCACCCCTGGCTCTTGGGTACCAGGCACAGTATGTACCCCACAAAGTAAGCAAGAAAAGACTTCGCGAGAGAAAAGCCGTGCTCATTTCTAAATGTTAAACGGAAAAAGAATTTGACATCCTCAACAAGCGAGTCGATAAGGGTCCTTGGTGATGACCAAGGGCGCTTGAAAGTAGAAACTTCCGGTGGAAGTAGAGGTTCTGCTTCACCACCTTGGTCAGAATTCTGTTCAATGGGACGATAAAAGGATGCATCGAAAAAGCCATCCCGGAGCTCTTCAACGCCGTATGTGCTATACTGATCAAGTTCCAGGTTTTCTAGCAGATGCTGCAGTTGCAGGGTGGAAACACTGGCTCTTGGCGAGTACGGATCAATGGGTGTCCTGGCACCAGAAGTGGCCCTGGAAGGACGTGACTGGCCAGATCGGAAGGAAGACTGAGAGTTACGAGGTCGGGAGTAAATACTCGGTCTTTCCCGGCCATTGTGTTCCATTCTCCTCAGAGCCTGCTCATCCAGCTGAACATGGCGGGACAATGTTCGGCGTAGCGACATGACGTTCTTAGGCTATCCGGGGAAGGGCGGGATGGTGAAGTACGAATCTGCTTGTGATACTTTCACCACTATTCCAGCTACTGTGCTCGAATACCAGTATCGTAGTAGTTTGGCACTCCCAGCAAAAATATCAACCAGCTGAGGGGGGGGGTTGAATGGAAAAAAGGAGGCGAATGCGAGGAGGGGGGGAGGTGATCGCGGCGTTTGCAGGACTGCCGGCGAAATACGCTACTGTACTCGAGTGTGCTGGTATGGTAAACAGTGCGAGGATGCTCTATCCGATTGAGCACTCGAGCAGGTTCGGCTCCTTCTGGAGGGGAAGATCCGGAGTGATTGACGAATTCTCTCCCCTGCCCTGTTGCGATCAATGCCTTACCGAAAATAGGTTTCGCCTCCTTCAGCCTGCCCCCCCAAGCCCCACCTTCAAGTCTTGGCCGTGTTTTGCAGGGCCGAGATTGAATGTTTGTGTTTTGAATGGCCAAGATCGGATGAGATCTTTGATCATTTCGTGATGTGCTTTTACCACAATAGGTAGCGCGACGCCCTATTTTGTTTACGTTTAGTGGCTGTCAGACCACCGGGCTTTGGACTAGGAGCAACAATATTTGGGAT